TTGAAATTAGATTTTGAGTGATTTTGTCTATTTCCAGCAAATTACAGCTCATCCAGTAAACAATGAAAACAGGTCTGGGTGTCCATCAGCTTTCTAGTTAGTAGTACAAAACAGCCCTGATTTTTTGGCAGCATAGACACAAGCAGACGACTGCTGTGGTGAAATAAGTGGCAACGTTGTGGTCAGAAAACAACAGAAAACGGAGCACAGGTTGAAACAGGTTCTAGCTCCGCTGACAACACAGCGCTTTTCTTAATGAGCCCCATTCAAAGAGCCGCGCCGCAAACAGCCGCCAACTGGGATCTTTACATTTCGCCCACTTGACCCGCCGACATGAAGGCAGCGCAGCCACCAGAACGAACCGCACACAAACCGCGTGACGGCTGCCGTAATCGGCTTAAGGGCATCAAAATAAACACTCGAAAGTGTCGGAGGGTTTTTCATTAATACATAAATAACGCTGCCTCCCTGCTTGAGTACAGCTCAAGCCTTTAATATTTTTTCATGGAGACGGAGTCACATCACCAAGCTTCTCCGGTTTATCTGTGACACTGATGGCTGCACACCTACGCTGTCGCACAGCGTAGACTTTCCATTTCCAAAGAAATTGCACGGTCAAAGAAAAAAAGGGGAAGAAATAATGTGACTCAATCTCGAGACGACACAGTAGAAGTGCTGTTTATAAAAACCTAAAGAAGTCTAGATCCCCTCCTCTCATGTTGAGATAAGCAGGTGAGGAAAATGAAAGCGCCTCATGCAGCTTTGACCGTCCGTGTTTAAGACCTTTGGCGTCGGACTTCAATCTAAGAAACAGAACCTGAATATTTCATAGCAGGGAGGAGGATATTTTCCGTACACTAGCTATCAGGCTTCTGAGAGTGTAGGCTTTTATTAAGTGGGAGTTTTTTTACTGTAAATGTCCAAGCATAATGGTCCCATATCCATAAAAGCAAGAGAAGGACAATCAAACAGCATGAATGCCTACAATAACACATTTCTACTTTTTAACAGCGTCCACTACTATATATGCTTTTTTGCACTGAGTGGCTTTTAAAAATCAAATAAAGAATTCACCAAATACCAAATATTATGTTGCATAAATGCTTTTTTTTTTGTTATTATTTCTTTGAATTACACTAAGGCTTCCCCGCAGGACTCCAGAGGTTCAACATGACTGAAGGACATTTAAGAATACAGGATTGAAATAAAGCAGAATTTCCACCACGCGACCTCTCGCTCGCTCTCACACAAACACACAATTTGTTCTTAGCTCTAAGCACCGGNCGACTGTGTCAAACCTAGCTTGAAATTAGCTGCTGCTCCCGCTTCCCCAGTCAAACGCTGCTGTATAAACTTTGCATGTGTGAGGACCTGAACCTGTTTAATTGAAGCATCCTAATAATTTGGAACATATAGTTTTAAGTGCATCCTGTGATGTTCCGCTGCATTGGTATTTATTTGCTTGTAGGAACGCTGACTACTGATTTAATAGCATCAGTCCAAACAAACCACACTTATTACTTTCTTTCTCTCTCTCTCTCTCTCGTGCACACAAACAAAACTTCTGAAAATGAATTCAAGAGAATGCCATTTGCTTCAGATCATAACTTCCACAAATACGGAAACACGAGGAGTATAAAGGAGCTGGAACCGAACAAAGAGGGAGACAAACAGCAGGATGTGCGATAATACAATTGTTTTGTTTGTGTCTTAGAGCAATGAACAGTGGCATGCATGAATTTTAATAGCCTATTTTCATGTAAATGTGAATTCCCACTTCTTGGCAGCCTTTTGTCAACAAATTAATATTTTCCCATACCTCCGACAAAGCAAACGTAACGACCTTTGTTGTCCTTCAGTAATGGCGTCGGAATTGGTTCATCAAGATCTCAGATTAGTTTCTCGGCATAAATTTGTCTGGCTTCAAATTCGCAGAAG